GCAGTCCTGAGTAATGTGCTCTAGGCAATCCTGCTTTAGCAGGGGAGTTGGACTAGATGATCTCTAGAGGTCCCTTCCAACTCTGAAAATTCTGTGATTCTGTGATTCTGTGAAACAGTGTGCCATCCTAGAGGACATAGTAGTAGCATCTGTGGATTCACTATTCCCAGTTGTACAGATAACAGTATAGGAGGGAGCATGAAATGCAATCAAAACAATTGTGCTACAATTGCAGTCTGAGGCAGTGCAAGTATGAGGACCAGTGTTGTGAGTGAAAGGACAGTGCAGCAACTGCATTTTAATGGGGCTTGCAGTTGTTTTGCAGAAAGTGATGTATGGCAGTCACATAACCCACTGCCAAAGCCTAGTCAGACATCAGCAACAACCTGGGAAGGTGTCAGGCATCGAGACTCCTAATCAACAGGAGCCTGACAGAAGTAGAAATGTGATTTTACCTGAAACTAGGCAGTGGTCAGAATTAGCTTCAGATGCCTCCCTTACAGCTACTAAACTCAGAAGTCCAGTCCTGGGAACAGGTTTGCCTGGCAAGCAAAAAGGGGCTGTAGAGCAAGAGGAAGGATATTTGAAGCTTTGGGTTTCAAGCTCATGTGTATGTGTCCACCATCATCTATCCATCCACTGTTTAGCTGCATTTTCTGGGAATTTCTAAGATTAATGTTATCACAAAAGCCATTCCGAGCAATTGATTGTTTAAAAAAAAGACGCTTTTTGTCAGGCGAACATCTTGGATGCTTTTATTGCTTATAACTATTGTGGTGTAAACCACAGAGTAAATTCTGTGACATCCATGTTCTGTGGGACTTTTCTCTAAACATTTTCTTAATGTACATCTTTTGTGGCATTTAGTCATGGTGCATTCCTAATACTTCCTCCCAAGCACATGTGCTGAATTTACGCTCTCAGACAGTAAGATTTATTCCTGTACATCTAGGTTTGGAAGATAGGCATGGTAAAGAACACTTTTCCCATAAACCCTGTGAGAAGGAAACTAGATATTTATGGGGAACAGGGAACATATCACTGCTGTTTGGCCTTTTTCAGAACTGTAAGGAAGAAGAAATAAACCAGAGCAGGGAAGAAGCTGAGCTCTGGATCCAGCTAGCAGAGATCAAAATGAGTTTAGAAAAGTCAGCAGCATCCCCCCTGCCACAGAAGCAGTGGTCACCGTTACAGTTCCCATCTGCTTGGGGAGGCTGGGGAGATCGGGGTGGCCAACCTTGTTCTAAAAGAATGGTTCCTGCAGGTCTTTACCCTATATTGAGCTTGTCTTCTCATAAAGGGCTTTTAGGAGAAGTACAGAATTCAAACTATTCCTACTGCGTCATGCTTGGTGACTACTAAGCACAGAGCTTAGAAGAAACGGTCACCTGGCAGGTGATTTGACGGCCAGGCTCTCCCACAAAAACTGTCTTTTACATGCAGGGCATTCTTAAAGATCTACAGATGTAAAGATTGGAATTATCTAGGCTTTGAGGGGAGGTAAGTGATAACGCCATTAAACCTCTAAAAGGCAAGATGGAAAACTCTCTAGATTTTTACTGAATTTTATCTGATTTACTCCGTCATTTTTAGTGATTATAGTTTGAGGCCCATTAAGTAGAACTGCACTTTCATTTAGTGAGGAGTTTAATATTTAATGTTGGCTTTCCAATGTTATATACATTGTAATAGTGTAAAGTTAAAATTAATTGAATCTAGTATAATTTGGTTCTGGTAAAAATGCTAGAAGGATCATACTGGAACTATAATAACAGTAGCAATAGCATTTCTGGAAGACTGAAATACAGTGTTATGCCTAAAAAGACTGTTTCCACTAGCTCGTGTTCAAAAAACCACCCAGATAGGGAAAAAAAAAAAAAACAGAAATAATTTCAGGTGGAAAATGAACCAATAAATATTTCATAACCTATCTCCCACTTTTTTCAGGGATTATGATGGCAATTAGGACAGTATATACTGTTTCTTTGATATTGTCTACAGCTGCCAAGGCTATATGCTCGTCTGGGTTATTCAATTCTTAAAATGCATTATGTTCAAATCATGCTTTCTAAAGTGGTTTTCTCTTAGAACTACATGAAATGAAAGCCATATTGCTGGCTTAAATGTAATTCAGTTCATCCTTGTTGTGTCAGGATGTTTTTTTTATATATATAAAGGGAAGGAAATTAAAATATTAAAAAATACATTAGTCATCATGAGTTTTTTTTAATATCATCAGCACTAACATAAAGCCAGCTGATAAATTGCACACTATTCAGAGGAAAGAAATAGAATAAAATTAGTATTGCATTACACTAGATTAATCATAGCCCTGGGTTACTGTCATTCTATGGAAAACAAAAGCCTGACTGTTTCAGATTTTAAAGTTTCATCTCAGCCTTTAAGATTATTTGCCTTAAGAGACAAATAACAAGCCAATGTACTGAAGGAAGAACACAAGATTTTGGACTGGTGGGGTTGGTAAATTTTTATCATTGTTTCTAAATGACAGCAAAGCAGCAATGATGACTTGGATCCAGATGGTTCGCAGTAACGCTTCACAGTAGTAACCTGATGAAGCTTTTTAGTGCTAGTGACAGGTAAATGCTTGAAAGGTTTACGGCAGGGAAAAAGCTTCAATAAATAACTTGAAAATCTGTCTCTCTTCTTACTTGCATAATTATCACTTTTTGTAATGGCATAATGGAACAGCAAATCATAGGTGAAGGAAAGGCTGGAAAAGGGGAACTCTCTCTGGAGCTAATAGGATGTACGATGGGATTTTTTTTACTTCTTGTAAGACGAATAGCTACTTAACAACCATTAGGCCTCTCTCAGTCTTAAGGGGAGAGTTTTAAATTCTTTTTCATGTAGTTAAGTCTGTCCAGGGATCAGGAGCTAAAAATAGAGGAGATGAAGGCTTTTCTCAGTGCGAGTAGAGATTAATAGTTTCAGGATATTTTAACGGAAAGAAGAAAGTTCTGGGATCTCTCACATGAGCTTTTCTCCCTAATCCTGGTTACCTGTGAAGAGTACAACCAGGAATCTGGTGCTCCCTTTGCAATGAAGGAGAAATCTGATGTCTGGCTGCTTCACAGGGCAGGAGGCCAGTCCTGCAGAGACTCTGATGTTTTTGATAAAATCTTTTTCATTGGAAACCCAGGTTTTCAATAAATGGAAATTTTAACAGAAATCATCCCTTTTTTTTTTTTTTCTGGGGAAGAAATAGGCAGATGTAAAACTCACTGTAGGAAGGGGAAATTGGCTGAAAAGAACACCTGGAAAGTTTTCAGGTTTTGATCAGAAGTGCACCAGGTTTTGTCAGCTGTTTTCTGTTTCAGTTATAGAAAATGATACATCCAAAATAAAAGTGAAGAAGAAATTGACTGAAAGTTGTTTTTCCTGTCAAAAGGGAAAAAATAATGTTGAAAATTTCACTTATAAAAAGAAAGGATCTATTTCTGTTAACATTTTCTACTGTTACTTTTCCAAACAGATGTGATTGGGAAAGTGTTGTCAGTTTTCCTGTGGGTAGGTGGAGCTGCTATGTCTTATACTCCATGTCTTATACACCATCACTGAATGCCTGGCTGAAGCTGGTAGCACTAATGGGTTGCATAGCAGGACTCTGAGATTTTTAGATGCAACCTGCCTCCAGCCTCCACTGGAGGAATGACCCTCAAAATAACACTGGCAGATACCAGATTTTTGCTGTTTCACACTGTGGCTGGTAAAAAAAAAAATGAAAGAAAACAAAGGATATGCAATTAAAGCCTACGACATGTACACAAGAACAACAATAAAAAAGACTATGTCAAAAGGGAAGCCACTGAGGAAAGATCCATCAATCTGGGAACTAAGCATTGTTAAAAGCCCACAGTCAATGTAAATGGTCCGGAATAAGGTTCATAAATAGTAAAATGGGACCAAAGCAAAGAATCCTACACGCAGTTTATTTAGATTGAATGCTACAATGCAAATAAAGCATTTCACTGCAAAGCAGCTAAGATACATTCTTCTATTTTCTGCTGCTAAAACAGAAATTATTCAGCAGTTGTTCACAGAGCATTATTGAGGGGAAGTATACTTCAGCCTCAACAGCTGCTCCTTGGTTCCCTGTGGTTATTTTGGGCCATGCAGTCTAACTTAGGACTGCTGCAGGTACATGGCTTTAGCCCTCAAAGCTTTAAGGTGGCTAAGTCTGATATATATCAGTATTTGATTGATTCATGAAAAAGTCAAGTCTTAGTCCTCTTCCCTCTTTTCCCCAGTTGTCTTGTCTTCCTTTTGAGGTTCTACTGGAGGAAATTCTGTGTCCACATACTAAAGCGAACATTTCATTTCTCAGTTTCTACAGATCAAGTGATGAGATGTCATGTGTGAACCCCCCGAAGGCCAAGAGGAGAAACTCCAACTTCCCCACAGAAAATTGTGAACTGCGGTTTCTTACTGGCTAGCAACACCTTTGATTCAATTTGTATGAAAACTCAACTTACTTATTAAAATGGACGTTATTGATCAAATATTAGAAATTCCATTTCTTATATGTTCTAAGCTGTACAATTGTCAGATTTTTATGGTTTAGATTGTAAATGTGTTTTTCTCTGGCTAATTATTGGTATTATTTTTTTAATTTTGATGTCTTAAAGGCAAATGTACTGTATCATAATAATATGAAGGACATATTTAACAGGTGTGGGACACACTGTATACAAATGTATATTTCTAAAAGCTATTTTTATGATTAGCATGTTTTACTGTTTTACCATATTTAGAGTCAGGTGATATTGCACTTCTTTGTTTACAGCTTAATTCAAACAAGATCACAATTAAATACATTGTATGGTATTTTTCATTATTTTATTTATTATGTTTGTCATTGGAAATAACTATGTTTACTAATAGGAATAGCTGCTAAAAAGTGAAAATGTCAAAATAAGAGAGCAATCCTTGATAAAACTGTAAATTGGATCCTCCTGTAAATCCCTTTCTTCAGATAAGCACTCTCTGTGATGCCATCCACCAGACAGTTGTTATAGCTGTTCCTGCAAGTCTCTAAAGGCAGTTTGTTGTTACCATGCAGAAAGTGTACATGACAGTCAGTCTCCTGTCTGGCCAGGTAAATTACTTATAGACTGCCAATATCTGACAACCCAAGCTAGCCTGCTGATTACTTTTTGGTTTATTTTGCAGCAGTAGTCTTTCCACTCCTGAACCCCTAAAGCCCTCCTAAAAGCCTGCAGTTGGAATAATGAATTATTACAGATGTTGTAGGGGGAATCTCAGTATAGAATTTCTTAATAAATCGTATTTCCTTTCAAACAGTATGAATGCATTATTTCTCTTGTGTTATTGAGATATTAGGGGTATCAAAGCATACATAATATGAGCACAAGGTCGTCTTCTTTAAAGAAAGTACCAACTTGTTCAGCATCCCAAAGCTAGACTTCCTTAGCACTGCAGATGACATGAAAAAATGAATAGGTGTTTATTTATCTACATCCTTAGGTGAGATATACACCTGTAGAAAAAGATATGTCTTTAAAGTGACTGCAGGGGAAAATAGATACAGCCGTCCATGCAGTAGGGACATTAATTTAAGAAGTACTTTAGACAGTCAAACGGAACTCAGACCCAGCTGTGTGCCAGTTTGCAGCACAGAGCCCTGACACGCACTGATATCCATGGCCAGGGGTATTTAGTAACATCCAGCACCACAAAAGTGAACACTTGCCTTTCCCTTTCAATCATTCTCTGTAGGCTGAAAGCAAGACAAAAATAAAGGTACGAGAGAGATTCTTTAACAGATCAGACTTTCAATTTTTACAAAAAAAAACGGTAGTTTCTGAGATGATAGGTTCACCTCAAACAATGGGGGTATGAAGAAGTGGGAGCTCAAGGTCTCCAATCAGGTTTCCAGCATGGGGATCATCATCAAAGAAGGACTGATGTTCTTCAAACATTTGGAAGAAGAGCATACATTTGCATTTAATTGTCTATTACTGAGTGGGAATTTACTTCACTAGGAGACTATGTAACATAGCACTCTCAATTACGTTTGTGTATCTTATATGTAGCTATTGTCTGTGAAGTTAGATGGTTTACTTAAGTGCTGAGTAGCACCTAGCTACTTAATTAAGGAAAGAATAGTATAAGTAGTTATGCCTAAGCATAAAGGATCACAGCTTCAGAATCCACAAAGGCTGACTCTCCCAGAAAAGTGCTCCAAAAAATATTACTTGTGTGTAAGTGGAATGTTAGGCCAAATCAAAGGCTGAAATATTTCTCCACCTTCTGTCTATTAGTATAGGTTATGATCATTTTCAACTGTAAAAATGCAAAAATAATTGCCATTTTGGGATCTCCATCTTTGGCTGACAGTTAAAAAAAAAAGTACTTCAAACCTTAGCAGCTCAGTGGGCATTTTGCCCATTTCAATTACATAAACTCTTGACTGACTTAAAAGATGCAGAATGTCATCCAAGAAGATCAGTTCTGATGTTGGTGTTAATAAACTATGTATGAGAAACAGCTAGGTCTACCATCTCTTCACCACCTCCATTCCAAATGTGCTAATAATCACAGAAAACACTCTATTAGATTTTTACAAATCCTTTCCAATCATTACCCTTAGATTCACAGAAATGATTGTGCCATCATAACGTTGACACTGTTTCATGCCACAGTTTAAGTCCTGAATATATTTTGAACACAAAAAGACACCTCCAAAAACACCATGAGGCACTACTTCATTTGCAAGCCAGAAGCTTGTTGTGCCGTGCAGTCGATTAGGAGCAAGGTTTCTTAATGGCATATTTGCTTCAAATCACTAGAGAGGATGCTGGTAGCTTCCACAGAGCTTGATAGTTCTCTACTTTTCATGTACACAGTATGCTCGGTGTTGTTTGCCATCATTACCTATACTTGTTTTACATGGGTTTTGTCAGTTGTGGTTTTCCTAACATTGCTCATCCCTTGCAATATGGAAGAATAGGAAACATAAAGGATCTCATCAATTGGTTTGGATAGTTAACAGTCTTATAAAATCCTTTATGGACAGTCCTGAATTAAACCGATTCATTTTCTACACCGACCTATACGGTCTGTGTATTTCAGATACTTGTTTCAAACCTGTGCAGCTGCATGAATGGAAAATATTTACTAAAAAGCTTTAAAGTTTGGATCAAGAAAAAAATATTTTTACTTTTGTAAACTCTTGTATTACATATTGTTCCAGTTCTTATTAGTTTTCTCTGTAGATCCATTTTTAGTTCTGAAAAATCATTGTATTTAAACTATGTAGATAGCTACAACCTTGTAAGCAGTCATATTTTTAGTAGGTGCCACTGGAAGTTAGGATTAAAACATTCAGGGCTTGCCCATGTAGAGCAGATTGGTGGTTCATTACAGTCTTCTTTAAAATGTTGTAACATAATTTTTACATGTCTGTAAATAAATATTTTCTCTGATTTATGCACTAATTCAGTTTTGTAATTTCTTCTCTTAAAATGTGACTAAGAAACTTTCCAGGAAAAACATATTTCTCTCATGGAAAAACATCATTTAAAGCTCTGTAATACAACTGTACTTCACAAACTTTCCAAGCAGAACCAACAGAAGCAGGCATCCACAGTATGAAGTACTTAACTAAGGTGGAGGAAAACGTGGTAAATACTGCTATGATTTTAACAGTTTAAGAAATCTAAGGACCACTCCTGTGTAAAAAAATGACTGAGAAAAAATGTGACAAACTTGATAAAAAGAGGAAATTCTTCAGTGGGGTCAAAGTGAGAGAGAGAGAGAGAGAGAGAGAGAGAGAGAGACAGAGGGGGTATTTCATTGAATTTGAGGAATGCATTTTCTTAATCTTGGAAGCTTCTAAGTTTCATGTATTACTAAAGTAGCACAAATACAGGTTATGAAACCCATTTTAATAATAGTTAGAATTTTCTGTTCAGTATTCAAACACATTTTTTATTCGTAGTTTCTTATTCCATTCAAAAGGCACTGCTATACAGACAAACTATGGAAAATTGGTCCACAAAGTATACAAGGATGTTTTTAAATTATTTTGGAACTGTTGGGAAGCAAGACTGTTTTGAAATATGTGTGATTTATATATGGCACATAATTTTTCACATTTTCAAATATGTTGTCCTTATTGTTACAGCTATGCTGGATTTTGCACAAATTTGCGAACTTTATAAACAACTTAGTGTTACTATGCACGATACAGGGCCAATTCCTCATTCAGAAAGAGCCTTGCTATAGATTAAATAGTAGCCAATTTTCCTGGTTTCAGCTGGGAAAAAGTTAATTTTCATTCTAGTGATTGCTGCTGTGAAAGGAATGTCAATAATACCTATTGGGTTTAGTGGTTGCTAAGTGATATTTACACTATTTAAAGACTTTTTTCAGCTTCCCATAGAAGAATAGACATAACGATGGAATGGCTAATGAAAAACTCCATACCATAAAGGTCAGGCTCCATGTATGAATGGGGGTTAGCCAGGGGGTGGGAATCAGAGATCACTGCTTAGGATTGTGCCAATTCACCAGGCGGTGAGAGTGAGCCATGTCATTACTGTTATTATTGTTTTTATTTTTATTTTTCTGTTATAGTTTCTATTCAATTGTCTTTATCTCAACCCATGAGTCTTTTTTTCTCCCTTTCCCCTCTTTTTTTTTCCTCTTCCCCCCACCCTTTGGGGAGGTAGAGAAGCGGGGGAAGGACGGGTCGAGCAAGCAGCTGTGGCGTTCTAGTTGCTGGCTGGGATTAAACCATGACACCAACTAAAATAATTTCTAATTCCTTTTTAGTAGAGAAGGTTGTCTCTGAGGGTTGTGATCAGTGGCATGAAGTCTAGATGGAGGCCTGTAACCAGTGGTGTCCCCCAGGGGTCGATACTTGGTCCAATTTTGTTTAATATATTCATTAATGACCTGGATGAGGAGACAGAGTGTATCCTCAGCAAGTTTGCTGATGATACCAAACTGGGAGAGGTGGCTGACTCTCCAGAGGGCCGCACTGCCATCCAGCGGGACCTGGACAGGCTGGAGAGCTAGGCAGAGAGGAACCTAATGAGGTTCAACATAAGCAAGTGCAGGGTCCTGCACCTGGGGAGGAAAAATGCTGGGCAGCGGTATAGGTTAGGGGTGGACCTGCTGGGAAGTAGCTCTGAGGAGAAGGATTTGGGGGTCCTGGTAGATAGTAAATTGTCAATGAGCCAGCAATGTGCCCTTGCTGCCAAAAAAAGCCCAATGGAATCCTGGGCTGCATAGGGAAGAGTGTGACCAGTAAGTCGAGGGAGGTCATTCTCCCCCTCTACTCGGCACTGGTGAGGCCACAACTGGAATACTGTGTCCAGTTTTGGGCTCCCCAGTTCAAGAGGGACAGGGAACTGATGGAGAGAGTCCGGCGAAGGGCAACCAAGATGACTGAGGGATTGGAGCA